GGGAATTTCACCAGTAGCTAAAAAAGTTCCGAATTCGAGGCAGCGCAAAAATTATCATCAGGCAACTGGGCTGGCCACCTCGCAACGTACAGTCACCCTGCGCTAACACTCCGATCGCAACGTACAGTCACCCTGCGCTAACGCTCCGAGATGAGGGAGTTGAACCGGCAAACGCGCCATGCACATCCTCAATAATATTGAAATAAAATATAGTGAAATTATTTTTAACATTATATGTTAATGAAATTAGTTAGCAGACAGCTCTGGTTAGTTAAACATTTTTTTCCTCATGACTAAAACGTAAAAATCTCCCAGTACATATATATACACATATATATATATATGTAAACATGTACACACACCCACATATATACGTATATGTGGGTGTACATATGTATGTGTGTCCTTAATTCTCAAGGGATTAATAAAGTTCTATCTATGTATTTACATACATATACAGTATGTATATACCTATATATGTAAATATATGTATATACCTATATATGTACATACATGTATGTACATATATAGTTACTGAATATATGTACATACACATATAGAAAATATGTACACATGTATAGTACACACATATATGTATATATGTACACATATATATGTACATATATACAGTATGTGAATTTGGATCAGTTCAAGACAGTTACATTTTATACATTTCTAAGTCTACAAACATCAAAACATTTTTTTTGGTCACATTTCTCTCTCTGTTACAAAACCTGACATTTTTGGGTCCAAATATATACCGTGCACCAAATCCTGTAGAGAAAAGCAGCGATTCTACATCAGGATGTTTTAATCCCCTCCTAGCCTCCTTCGGTGGGTTCAAAAGTGTCGTCTTGTGACTTAGGTGCTATAAATCTTTTGATCGGATTGTAACCTCATGGACTCAAAGTTGCCCAACAGGCCAGCAAACTGCTGAACAACACAGGCATGATTGGAATAACAAAAGTCAAGCAACCAGTCAGACCAAATGAGAGGTGAACTGGTGTTTAAACCCGGGGGAATTTCTCCGACCGTCAGGTTAGAGAAATTCCCACAGAGCAAAAAAAAAAAAACTCCAGTATGGAATGGCAGAGCATGGAAAATGCCGCATGATTGGTATTTGAGTGTCACAGAAAAGAACCAGACATTTACCACCACAACCACATGTCTCAGTCCACGACTGGCTGCTGAGCTCAGATGGGAAAGCCCACCGTAACGGACATCTGCAACATCACTTTGTGTTTTTGGTCTTAGTTATTTATAAGTCCTCCACGAAAAGAAGGTGCAGATGTCAAAATGTCACACAGCTTTTTTTCCAAGTGCAGGTCAAATTTTAAAAGTTGAGAAAAAAAAACAACAACAACCAAGTTCCAAATAATAAAAAAAATTATAAAAAAATTAAACTTTAACCAAATTAAATTAAAATTTAATTTGATCAAATATTTCTCTTTACATAAAACAAACAAATAAAAAAAACACAGCAAGGAGAGGTTTTCTTACAGTTTCCCTCAGCTCAAAATTATTAAACAGGAGAAAAATAAAGTTCACAAAACTTGATGGAAAATTCAACACCTAGCGCTAACATTTAGTCATAAAATAGAACCGTGTTTTATTATCAGACGGAGATCGTTATTATTTCCATATTTGTTTCTGTGCTTCACAGAAACTGGACCTGAAAGTCCAGAACACCCAAACAGCAATCAGGAATGTCACACAAAAACAGACGATGGAAATATTTACAAGCAGAACTAATGCTGAGGAATTACTCAAATGATTGACGATGTTTGTTTGTTTTTCTTAATGTCGCCTTTTACTGCGATTGTTTTCTCTGACGTTCGTGCGTCCCTTTGTTTTCACTGCCTCCATTTGAGTGACAGCTGTGACAGAGTCAAACGATGCCACTGATCCTTGACTGACGACTGTTGAACTCTTTGATCCTAAAGTTCAAAGGGAACTATTATAAGGATGACGTCTGGAGTCAGTTAGGCAGAGCATTTAACCTAGAGTGACGCAGCCAGAACACGAGGGAAGACGGCGCTTGATGTTATGAAGTATTTCTCTTGTCAACTGACAGACGACATGAACGGAGGTCAGACTGTGAGAGTTGACAGAGTTTTTTTCTGATACTGAGTCCATTTGTTTGCAGTTAAAAGTTTGTTTGACGTTGGAATTTAGCCGTCAATGCAAAGAAATCAGTCAAGAAACAAAGACAAAAACCTGGTAAAAAGATCAAGTCTGGTCCGAAACAGAACAAAAAAAACGACGTAACCAGTGAGACAGGAAATGGAAATTTAAAATAAAAAATATTTCTAAGCTACAATTTAGAACATTTTGGTCAGCATTTTTGCCAAGACCAGTTAGGAAGTTAGGACCAGTACAATCAGAACAGAAGAAGTACAAGTATATTAACAAAAGATTTATATTAATTGAAATATCATTTGAAAAAACATCACAGACATGAAGCATTTGTGCTTTTTTTTTTTTACTTTTAAAATTCATCAAGCGGGCCAGATTGAACCCCGTAGCAGGCCAATTGTGGGCCTGCGGGCCGTATGTTTAACACCCTTAGTTGAACTTTCAATAACGTCTGTGCAGACTGACTGACTGACTTTTATTTTTTTAAAAATATTGTATTTCTGTGCGCAGCACTTGTGTTGTAACAGACACAACAACATGGTTGGACGTGCAGGGAAAAGAAAGTTCCAGAGACTCTGTCAGGTCAGGTGTTCGTCCGGGTCTTCCCTGAGGAACTCCGTGTCATGTGCTGCGTTACTGTTTGTGAAACTCTAAAAGCCTGTGGGAAGGAATGTTCTGTTTCCAAATCCTACGTCCGTGTCTGTCAGCACAGACTCAGACACTGGCCTCACATCAAAGAACACGTTCAAACTCGGCCACAGGACGGCCACTTGGTCAGGAGTGTGGCTTGGAATTTATTTTGAAAAGTATACCCTGAGCAGAAATGAGACAAGTACACTTTTCTTTTTTTTCTTCATGTACTGGCCGTTACCGTGTACCTTAGTATCTGAGTGTGTGGTTAACTCCAGTGAGGACACGAGGAAGGAAAATACTTACAGAAAATTTTACAATCTGAAGGAGAAAAAAAAAATCAACAAAGTCTGCCATCACATCAGACCAGGGGTGTCAAACATACGACCCGGGGGCCAAAACCGGCCCGCTAGGTGGTTCATTCCAGCCTGCTTGAGGAATTAAAAAATTGTGACGTTTTGTCAAAATATATTTCATTAACTATGAATATTTTCTAATATATTTGCAGGTAAACAAAGGTAAAAATATGAACTTTGGTATTTACAGTTAATAATGTTGTGATTTTACTGGTCCGGCCCACATGACATCTAATCGGGCAGTATGTGGGCCCTGAACCAACGTGAGTTTGACACCCTGGTCTAGAACATATATTGATAAACATAATACTAAAAAAATAAAATAAAATAAAAGCAATATCTCTACATAGATAAAACAGCCAGGCATTAAAAATAGACAGACAGACAGATAGACCAGGGGTGTCAAACATACGGCCCGCGGGCCAAAACCAGCCCGCTTGGGGTTTCAATCCAGCCCGCTTGATGAATTTTGAAAATAAGAAAATACACAAAACACCTCATTTTGAGGTAATGTTTTGTAATTTTTTTTAATGTAATTAAGTTATAATTCTACTGGCCCATAAACCAAAATGACTTTGACAGCCCTGGGACGGACAGACAGACAGACAGACAGATAGATAAGAGAATAGTTCAGACAGACAGACAGACAGACAGATAAGAGAATAGTCAAAACTTGTACCTTATCATCTTGTCTTCTGCCACTCGTCCAGTTCTCAGACACAGGGACAGACATTCCTTTCCGTTCCCACTCTCAATACCTCCACTGTAGAGAGTCGTGGGTGTGTGTGTTTGGGGCGACAGGGACTGGGGGGGTGTGATGCGTCCGTCCTGCCCTGGGTTACCTTCAGCGTGTCCGCCCAGATTGGCATGTGTGGACCCTCTCGTTGGAGACCAGATCTGTGACTCGTCTCCACCATCCAAATATGTTTGATGGTCCACAGAGTTCCCCTGAGGTCCGTGCCTCACCCCACAGTCACCATTTGAAAAGAGAAATCTTGATTGGTTGATTGAATGAACGGTCAAACATTTGCAGCACCACAGACGACGCCACGCCCCAGATGTCCACCTCCTGGTTCATCTTACTGCCGATATACTGGTCCTGATCCAGTCCTAGTCCTGATCCAGTCCTGGTCCTGATCCAGTACGACGGGGTGTGGGCTGCACCAGGGAGTGGGCTACAGTGGTCCAGGGTGAAGGCTGAGCTGACTGTACAGGTTATCTGTAGCTCAGTGCATCTGAGAGGGGTCCACTGCCACAGCGCCACACTGTGGCCACAGCAGGGAGTCTCATTGTCCAATGCAACAGCTCACTGGCATGGAGCGAGGTCTTTGTTCAGGTCTACAGATGTCAAATATCAGTCAAAACAGGTGAGTAACATGAGGGATTGATTTGTGGGAGGACAAAAGAATCACACAAAAAAAAAAAATCCAAAAAGTTAATTACAGAAAATCTCACCACTAATCACAAGGACATGTTTTAAACTATTACTATCTCACTGATAAATACGTAATTCCTGAACTGTCCAGCTTTAGGGGTCCAGAAGGGTGGGGTGGGGGTTTACCAGAACACCAACAGACTGAAGCCCTAACATGTTATCATTTATGATGATATGCTACAGGTCTATATCTGTATGTTCACAGTCTTTTACTGTCTTCAGTCTCACGGTGTCAGGGTCAGAGGTCAACAAGGAACGAAGGGAAGGGCGTCAGACTCCGCAGCTTCATTCGACTGGAGCAGATGTCAACACACAGGAGAAATCAATCATCTTTGGAGGCTTCAAAGAAACTCCTGATCAACAGAATCTCTCGGTCGTTTAACCACGTTTCATCACTGTGTCGTTCTAATCCCGTCTGGTCAAGGTAACCGAAGGGTCCTGCTTTAAAAAAAAAAAAAAAAAAAAGTTGACGTTTTAATTTGAATTTTCTATTACCGGGATGTGGCTATACCTGAAAGTGATGCACTGAGAACATCAGCGCTGCTGCTGCTCTCACTATCTCTGAGGAAGCGTCGTCTCATCAGCTGCTGTGTTTGTACAAGGATCTAAAGGACTTGGTTTCACAGATAAGAGTCAGTTCTGTCAGTTCTAATCAGGAAGTCCTCACCACAGACACATGGAGAGGCTCAGGACAAATAACAACAGGAGAGATAAGCTCCCCCCTAAACTCCCCCATCCCCCGATACAAGGTCCCACCAACAGCTCCAAAATAAGGTGTTGCAAGAAGGTGGTTGATGTGTTTAAGGTCAGCTGACTCTGTCGGTCTCTGTTGGTTTTGTCCAATCACTGCTGCTGCTCCGTTTGCCTGATTTCAATTATTAAAAAAAAAGAAAATGTCATTAAAATACGCAACACAAAAATAAGAAACGCTTATAAGTATGTTTATGTTTATGTGTATAAACAGACCAACAAATGTACACATTACGTTTAGATATATATGTGCACGCACGCATAAATGTGTATATGTGTATGTATGTATTTATGTCTATTTATAAATATAAGGAAACATACATAAACATAGAGTATGTATATATAGATATATATACATTGATGCATGCAGTCATATATATATATATAAATATATATACACACATATATATAACACATTTTATCATTTTTGTAAGTCGAGCACATTATCAATCAATGTCACCAATTGTTTTTACATAAGTAAATAAAATATATATATTTTTTGGGAGGTGAAATGCACTTTACACTAAAGTACCTCAATAAATATTTTTAAATTAAAGAATATTTGTTCATTTGCACCATTAACTACAGGAAAAAAAATCAAATATTACAGACAGGAAAAAAAAAATCAAATAATTAAGTTTAGGGAGAACCATCATCATCTTTTTTCCTCACAACTCTTAAAAAAACTTTAAAATTGAAGTGTCTGTCGTTCCTTTAAGGTTTTTAACCCCAGGCAATAAAAACAAACAGCTCCTGGTTGTAAACATTAATGAGTGTGACGGAACTTTACAGCAGTCGTACTTAAACCTCGTCTATTTTTATAGCCGCAGAGCTGCAAAACTCCGGCTTTGACTTTAAAATAAAAATTATATGCTCATATAAAAACAGGAAGTGTCGTTATGTTCAACTGTCCTCTGTGTTTCCGAGCCTCTTCAGACCTGGTTTGAAAAATTGGCTGATAAATACAGCCATGGACGACCGACTGAAGCTTTAATATCTGTGTTATCACCTGAACAGCACGTCGTTGGCTGGAACACGCAGGTCAGTGGCCTCGACGACAGCCTGGTGAGCGTCTATGTCTGATTGTATAAAAATACATCTGTAACTGCCCTTTAATGTATTCATCCACCGTTAACTTTAGGGGAAAAAAAAAACCCTAAACATTTCTTTTTTTTTTGAGTTTTAGGTTTTAAAGAATATTGGAAAAATTACAATTTACAATTACAATTTTTTCCATTCATTTTAATAAAATTCAGACAAAATGCCAAGTGTGTGGGAGTAGTTGTGGTTTAATATAATTTTATTTTTTATTTGATTTTATTTTATTTTATGAATGAAGCCAAGCTAATTCTCGTATTGACAAAAAAAATATTAAATGATTATATTAAAGCCAAATCAGGTCAAAACTGTTGAGCTGATAAGAAAAAGGTTATTTTTTTAACTCACCTAAAAAAGAAGAATCCAGTGAAATCTTCAGGATTTGCTGAGCTCATGTCCCGACATCTTCTGTCCTCGTCCCCGTCTCTCTCGTCTCCGTCTTGCTGGTCCACTGAGCCACAGCCAAACCTGGTGAAAATCTCTGGAGTGTTGGCATCCATACCCAAAAAACATACTGGTTCTTTTTTGCCTTCCAAAGACTAACCCATTCCTCAAATAGGTGATGGATGCGAGCGGCCCACCCAGTTGGTGCTGACTGTTGATGGATGGACAAGGAGTTAATATTGGAAAGGGGGGGACGAGGCTCCGCCCAGACTGTTCTGTCCTGTTACTGGATCCTGGACATGTCCATCCAGGCTGCGTGCGTTTGATGTATTCTGTAGGAGAAGGGTCTGGTCGGGGGCAGATGGTGCTGCAGTGGCTGGAGCCACGGTGACCTCAGGAGAATGGAGACGAGACTTCGGGTCAGGAACTTTCAAACTGTTTTCATTCCTTTAATTATGTTCAAACCTGACGGAGGTGGAGAGTCGGAGGAAGGTGTAGTCATCAGGTGAGGACGTCACACCCTGGACAGTCCTCCAGTCCATCACACGGTCATGTCACATTCACACTCACACCAATGGTCACTTTAGTGTAAACAATGAACCTAATTCTGCCGATGTTTCTACTGGTGAGAGGGAACGGAAAAGAAATGTCTAGACTTTTCTGAAGGAGTTGCTGAAATTAAATCAATAAGACAATGGGAAAAAAAACATGAGAGAAGGGAGGGAGAGACAGAGAGAGAAAAGTATCTGCAGTTACTACAGCCAGTCAATCAAACACAGTCTCCTACTGTAGGAGTAGGTTCATCCAGGCCAGTCTGTGGGAGAACGGTGGTTCTCCGACGGGTTTATGGAGATGGAGCTCACACGTCCGTGAGCCCATCCACGTTGTCTACACATGTTGCCTGTCCACGTTGCTACAATGGGATCATACCTTTTGTTCCACCACGTATTACAGGTTACTAAATGAAAGAAAGAAAGAAAAAGAAAGAAAGAAAGGAAGAAAGAAAGGAAGAAAGGAGGGAACCCTCAAACAAATTAGTAAGAGAGACTAGAGAGCTATTTTTTTTCCTTCTTTTTTTTAAATAATCACACGTCTGGACGGATAAACAAATCAAGGTGTCGGAGAACACACCCAGAGTTCAAATCCATTTTTGCTTCGTCACCCGTCCGTTAACATGAGGCTGTGAAATGAACAAACTCAGTCCAACAGTTTATTTGGACATGTCAAGTTGTCAGGACTGTGGTCCATTAAGGCGAAGTCAATTTCTTCCAACGTTTTGTTTCGTTTCGTTTCGTTCTCCTCTGGTATTTGAACTGACTAGAACAGAAACATTACAGACGTTACTGAACGAGGCCTGATTAAAGAAAGGTGCGATCAGCTGGGAGGACGTTCGACGCCTCGGCTGATCAAAGCTGCCGGACAGGTCACCTCCTCCCTGACTCCTGTGTGTTGGTCAATAAAACCAGGGTTATTCTAGGTGGCACCAGATCCTGAACCCGCCATAAAAAAGGTGATAAATGTCTGCAAATATATTAGGTGTGAAATTATGTTTATGACAGCTGAGCCGAAGGGGGTGGGTGGGGGGGGGCTTTCAAAGCTGATGTGTTTACACCATGTTGTCTCGCTCTGCTTCTGAATTAGGAAAATAAACAACAAAAGATCCACAAACAGGAAAAAACAGTTCCGGCTGTTTGTCCTGGTGCCTTGGTAAATAGATAGAACTTCATCAATTCACTTTGGGGAATTGCGTGTAGGGCCTGTGTTGCGTTTGACACTTTTTATACTCAGTGATCACCGGTCACATAAAACTATATGGCTGGACGTTAAATGCACAGTTCCGGGACGACCGCCGGGGTCAACCGTCCAAACTGATGACAGCTGTCAGGGCCGATGAACAAAGGCACCAGGAGAGGAGGGGGAGGAGGAGAAGTGTTGGGTTGACGGATGAAGAAACCTCTCTCGTGTTAGTCGATGTTCAACATGAAGACAATGGACGCCTGACAGGAAGTGTCAACATAGAAGTACGTTGGGAACGAGATGGACAGGATTGGAAATAGACGAATCAGAGAGGAACAGTTTTGTTGAAACGGTTTGGAGAAAGTACTGTAGGTCCAGTCCCGTAGAGGACAACCGGACTGTCTTGGGTTCTTCATCCAGGAGGCTTCAGTTCTTCAAAATATTCTGGTACTCAACCACAAAGTGGCTGAAGAAGGTGTTTACGTCGTCACCTGATGTCAGGAAAGCTGTGATCTCCAGGATCGAGGTGTGAATGGAGGGTTGTAGGACGAATGAGATTTTAGTTTTCTGGGGAGAGGACTCAGCCTGAAAGACAGGGCCTTGAACCATCTGCTCTGTTGACCGATGGTTTCCCCATGTTGCCGTAAATGGTTCCTTCACTCCTCCCTCCAACTGTCCATCATCTCTAGCGAGGGTATGTACGGTTCCATTTCCAAAATCCTCTTGAGGAAGGCGTGGGACTGAAACATATGATCCATGGTAAACGGCGAGGAGGGGCCGAGGAGGGGGTGTTGAAGGGTTGGGGCCACACGTGCAGGCGTTCTGTGGGGGACAGCGGGGTGTCCTGTGAATTTCGGAAACTTTTTTTTTTTTAACGTGACACTGTGAAGAGTTACAGTAAAGCAGACGGAATAATTTATACTTGGAGAGTGAACTGAAGGTACCGGGAATTGTGGGAAAACCCTGGTGTGTCATTCATTAGGATGACCCAGGTCAACTTTGACCCACTTCAGTGGAGCTGTTCTCACAGAGCTCCTTGTAAAAAGGAACGTTACAGTAAAAAGTCAAAGGTGCAGATGTGGAAATTAGGGTCAATCAGTTTAACATAGCTTTAACCAGCTCCAAATTCAATGTAGGTGTCAACGTGAACGCGTTGGTCCAGTTTTTGTTGACCCGGTGGTGAACCTGGACCTCTCCAAAGCTCTGCTGTGATTGGCTGCAGCTTCCCTCTCAGCTACTAACAGGATAAGTGGAGGAGATTACCCTGAATGAGTGGTTGAGGGCAGAGTAAGTGGGGGTTTCCCGCCCTGGCCTTGATGGATTTTAGTGTTGACAGGGACTGCGCTGGAACTAACCAAGTACCAAAACTCTCATATTAGGATTAAAAAAAAGGGTAATTTTCATTCAAAAATTCAAGTAGTAAGTGGCTAGAAACACTGAACGCATTTGAGACAAACTAGGTCCAGTTTTAACACGTATGGCGCAGGTACAGACTTGACTCCTGGATCTGAACCGGGTTCTTTGTCGGCCTTGGACCTGACTCTGAGTGAGTGAACACATGTTCATCGTCTCTTAACGACAGCGCTGAGGGCAGCGAGTGTGATATCACGGGATGAGTCATAACCACGCATTACAGCTTCAGAAGGATGCTGGATGTAAACATCATTATGGACGGTGACGTCTCAACCCGTGAGTCTAATATTACTAATAATAAGTGTTGTGTACGTAACTGGCCCAAAGCAGTGCTCAGCCTTGAAAGGAATTTGATCTGAAGTCATGTCGGAGCCTCAGCAGTTATCTCACAGCACGGGGGGGTTGTTGGTTCAAATCTCACTGAACCAAATCTCTCTTTCTCACTAACTCAGAAAGAGTTTTCTCTGTTAGAGGATTTTGTAGTCTGGGTTTGTTGGAGAATGAAAAGAAACTTCTAGTTCTTGCAACTGGACCCGAACCGAAATGATGGAGCGCTGATTGTACTCTGCCTGGCTATGACAGTTTACACAGCGCTGCTGCTTTTCACCAGATCCGTTTACGCAGCTCACGCAGCTCCAGTAAGTCTCAACTCCCGGACAGCTATTATTTCACTCGCTGCTGCTTTTCACCAGATCCGTTTACGCAGCTCACGCAGCTCCAGTAAGTCTCAACTCCCAGACAGCTATTATTTCACTCATCTGTTATTTTTCCCACTTTCCACTTCGTTTCGTGTGTCCTGACGGAGGAGAACGGACACAGAGTTACTCGGCTGGACTCACTGTGGGTCAGAACATCAGACCCAGCTTCTCTGATCAGCAGCCAGGCGGGCGACGCATCACAACAGCTGCTGCTCAACAGGTTCCTCTGTGGATTCTTCAATCCCTTTCCCACACATAAACAGAAGTCACCTCCAGTGTTTCGTTTGTGTAAGTGAATCTGACAAGAGGTTGAAGTTAACAGGGTTTGAAGCACTGTCGGACGAAATTTCTCAAAATTTCTTTAACACTCTTCTGTCGTCAAGGGATTTTAAACAAGTTGTTTAAGTCACTGCAAGTCACTTTAAAACTTGTGTTACAACCTAGTTAAAAGGCAGCATAAGGTTAGCCAAATAATAGCTACGTTTACTACAATCAACAGCTGAAACTTGGCTAAAACAAAGAACTAAAACAAAACTAAATAGAAAGTTATCCATATATTAAACCTAATTTAAATCAAAATATATAATATCAAAATATCTCACTGATGTCAGATCAATTAAAGTTTGAAAAGGATACAACAGACAGCCAAAAAAATGTAACCCTAGAACTTGCTACGACGAGCAAAACATGCTTTTCTCCAGAATCCTACAGACAGGATGGAGGACGTTCTTACGACCAAAAGCCATGGAACTACAAACTCTTCACTGCTGTTGAGTCTGATTTGCAACTGATCCAACCAGTGACCGAAGAGCAGAAACTCCGAGGACGGACCCGAGCTGCTGCCCACTCTCCTACTCTCTTCCTGCACTTTGACCTTTCCCAAACCCGTGTCTGGTTTTTTCCAAACTAATTTTAAGCCTCAACTGCTCGACACGTCTGTTAAATGTTTTTATTGTCAGGCCTGATGTGCTGTGCACAACCATCACCAGCACTCAACAAGTGTTCCCAGGACGGCCGTGAACCACTTGGTTAGCCACCGGGGACTTTCCCCAAGGATGTGCAGGAGTTGATGATCCCGAACTGAGTCATAACAAAAAGAAAACTTCGATATTAGAAGCAGATACTGCCCTTAAATAGCTTTGAAACCACACATTTTCCACACAACCAGCCAAGCACAGACATGGGCAAACTAAGGCCCGGGGGCCAGATGAAGCCCGTTTGGCTTTTTAATTCGGCCCATCAAACTAGTCCAAAATAAACTACTGATTTATATTATCATTATGTGTTATTGTCTTTTCCCTGCAATGCCCAGATTTTCACCAATAGATGGCGTATAAAATGCATTTTAGCATTTTAGCCTTTAAATGACTTTTACATGTCATTTATCTTAATTCACACAAACAATCCATCTACCTGCTCCTGACCCGGCCATCCTGTCAAATTTTAGGACCCCTTGTGGCCCAAGTCTGGCCTCGCAGATGTCAAAAGTTTACTGCAGGTTCGTATGTTTTTTGTGGCCTGTTTGACAAATGATTTTTTTTGTAGAAAATATGAATTTTCTTTTTTCTTTTAGTCTCACTGTCCTGAGATGAATTATATTCATATATATTCTTACGTCTGGTAACAGTGTCTTTCTGTTAACTTAACTAAATGAAGTTTGTTCTCACCAGCTTAAAAACATTTGACAAAAAATATGATTGTATAAACAAAACATTTTTTTATGAAGGTCCTGGGGCCTGTTGTAGCAGATCAGCTGTGAACACATGTCCCAAATAAGTTCAAATTATTATTTTCTTTTTTTCTATTTTTGTCTCAGGTTTTTCCTGTAGTTTGAGTTTCATTTTCGTCTCATCTCTGTCTTTTTCCACATGCTACACAGGTTTGTCTTTCTGAACAAAGGTTACGTGTTAGTCACTCACACAACCACAATTCAAAACACCTTCACCGTCTCCACCAAACACCGTCAGTAGCCGGAAAACAGTCAGCACCTGTTCAGTGTTTTAGACAAAACTAAACCACCAGTCCACCGACGTGTGATGTCACAGCGCTAAAACACTAACATTTGGACTTCCATCAGATCTGGCGTCACATGACATGAAACCCCTCTGGAGAGTGGTTAATAGCAGGTCTCTGAACCGGGGTCAAACATCCACCACATTTATTACCACATGTATTAAGAGTCTCCGGAGACAGACCAGCGTTGACCCCTGCTAACCCACTGTGTCCGGTCCACAACAAACTCACCAACAAAAATCCCCGCGTGACTCAGGCCCGGTGTTACGGAATATCTCAGGTGTACCATTATCAAGTGAACCACAGACCACAGCCACGCACACAGACCTGTGAGTAACCACATCGGACTGCGGTACTTCCTGGCACCACAGCACTCACATCCTACGACGGCCCAGGACGTCATAATATTTATCAAACTGACCCTTGGTTTTCAACACTTTCTGAAAACACTCTCGCCCTCCCACTACATGATTACATAGATAATAATAATAATAATAATAATAAATTTTATTTAAAAAGCGCCTTTCAGGACACTCAAGGACACTTATGGACAGATATGTATTTAATCTATTGAAGTTTTTAAGCGGGGGTAATACTGTTACTAAACCCCGCCCCTTTTTGTAGTATTTTTGTAATGTAACTCGGAGAACGAGGAGCTGATTCTCTGCTGTAATAAACAACAGACAGAAGACGTAGACTTCCAAAATAGACCAATTACGCACATATATAATACATACATACGCATGCGTATACAAATATATTTATCACCAAAATTCCAGAAAAATTTACATTTCTAAATTTGTTATACGTATATATATAAACACAAACCTATATATATTTATATATACATATAAACATGTACACACAAACAGGTATATACTATATATATATATATATATTAATATATATATTTGTATATATGTAATATACATACATGTGAATCACAAATTCCACTAGACAAGTTGACGCACAGAGGATGTTGAATAAGATCCAGTCAGAGTCAGGATGAGTCAGCGTTTAAACAATGAAGATGAAGATACGATGATGTTCAACCCGCGGCTCCTGGTGGCCTAGTTGTTACAGGAAAGGACTTGTGATTAGGAGATTCATAGTTTGGATCTTATGACCAGCATCACAAAAACTCCCCTGCTGCCCCCGGGGGGCAAGAAATTACAACCCACTGCTTCTCTGCGTGGTTATAATCACGTGTCAATCAAGCGTGTGCGTGTGTGTGTGTGTGTGGTAAACACAACTTCAAAACTGTTTGTGTTTTTTTAGTGCTTTTTATAATGTGTTTGTGTAATGTGATTTTGTAACACTTTCTTTTTTTAAATACAGGGGAAAAAAGAGGGCAGTTTTCAAAGCCGGTGCAGATCTCTGGGGTCTGACTTAAATAACCTCAAAATAAAACAAACTTTGTTTTCTAGCAAAAACATGTCAACCTCGGAGGGAAGAGAAGAATTCCTACGGAGAGAAATGCAACACAAAGATTTTCTTTTTTAGACTTGGGTTTGGTAAAAAAAATTAAGAAAAACAAAAAAAAAGTGCCCACATGCTGCCAATCAGCAAATACTGGTGGTCAACCTTTAGATTCCTGTCGACCAAAACAGAAGATCTGGATCTGTTTTAGACCCATGTGGATCTTAACGGTACCGGGGGAAAAAGAAATCAAATTTGGGGTTTTGGTTTTACAGGCACACACTCTTACTTCGCCTAATTCGTCAGCCAGCGATACACGAGCTGGTGACCTCAAGGACACAAATCCATATGCACATTAAGACGTCATAAAACTCAGGGATGATTGATTTTTCTGGGCTGCAGCCGTCTGTGAAAATCTGATACTTAAACATCGACCAACTGACTGTAGACAATTTTTTTTTAAAACTGTAACTGGAAACCAATAGTGAAAATTTGTGTTCTAAGTGACTTGTTAAACTGATCACAAGATTCCCTTAAAAAAAAAACATCAATCACAAGGGTACCCAACTGTTGGGTCGGGAGTTGCTACTGGGTCACACACACATAAGAAGTTGATTTATTTATTTTTATTATTATTGTTTTTGTTAGTCTGCATGTCATTTTATTCTTAAAAATCAATCACTTCCAATCACACTTCAACTCCGAACTAGTTAGCGAGGTTAGCTTAGCATAGCCTAGCTGGGAAGGCAACGGAATAATGTTTTGAATAAATTATAAAATTAGAGATTTTATTTGCACTAATCGAATTCAATGCAGTTTTCAGTTCCATAGTCCAGCGGTTAGCAAGCCTGCATCTGAAGCAGAGAGTCATGGGTTTGATTCCCAGAGGGACCACATGCCCACATGAATTTCCCAAATTGGGATAATTTTTTGGGCGAAAATAAAGTTTTTCAAGTCTTGGTTCATGTTTAAGAAACTGGGCCCAAATTTAATGTTTGGGTCCAGAGTGGTTGGAGGCTAGGCGCTCATCTAAAATCTCTGATCATTTACTATGATGTCATTGTATGAAGGAAACATAACATAATCAGTGTGTAAGCTGTTCACGATGTAACGCCACAACATTAACAAGAAACACTCCACATTTAGGGTCAAAGGTCAGACCCTTTAATATTTCCCACCGCCTCTCAGGGGAACAATAGGGAAACGTGATCTCTTCAAACAGGTCAATGTTGTTTAGAGAGCTAATTCACACCAGGTTAAAATTAAAGAGGGGGAAACTCAATAAATTCATGAAAACAAGTGAAAAAA